GAGGGCCATATTCGGGACGATTCCAAATTTAGAGCCAGTTAGAGATGCTTCCAAATTAAGGCCCGGAACCTGCTTCTGGAATTCTTTTATAAAAGCTCCTGAGTAAAACCATTCATCAACAATCAAAACGGAGGAAATCTAGCTGATCCCTGATCCTTCGGAGTCGTGCTAACCCCCCCTTCTTCAGAGGATCCGAGCCGCAGTGAATGTTAGTCTTGGCCTATTTTAAAGAAGTCTTGGGGGCTGATATCAGAATTTGGAAATCTGGCGAACTCATCTTTAATATTAGGGGTGTGTATATATTATGGGGAAAGAATTAGGTTCCTGTGCGTAGATTGGTTGATCTTTTTCATGCTTCTGTGTGTNNTACGCAGTCACCAATTTACCCGTGGCAACTTGCAAGGTGTTTTCCTGTAAGCGATGCCAGTGGTCAGTGGTGCGTTTCTAGCTGGCCCTGCCAGCTTGCCAGCGGAAACTTGCAGAGGGCCATGCAGTGTTGTTGGCACCTTTGTCTCAAGAATCTAGAGTGGGCCCCCCCAAGTCCCCCCCTCCCAGTACAGCTGCGCACATGATATTTGCTTTTCTGGAAGGACCGCGAGTTTGTGGAGCTTTTTGCTGGCTGCGGGTCAGCTAGCGCTGCTCTGCGGCAGGCAAGCTCTGCCATCTCGGTTTTTTTCGAGCGGGTTACTGGCCATGCATCGTGCGTGTCAGAGACATCAGGTATATTTTGTCATGGAATGAAAGCTACATTTGAATTTGTGTCAGGCATGCATGAAGGGTACCTCCCTGGACGTGGCTTATGACAGAGCCTTTGATATGGCAAAGGCTGCAGGATTTTTGTGCTCAGCTTAGTCTCTTTTTTTTGGACAGCATGCATGCTTCATGTTAAATGCTTCATGTTAAACACGTGCCATGTACATTCGTCCCACGCGTGCGTGCATCATGGTGTGGCATCAGAGATGTATGTGGCTCGCGGCTGTGAGGTGCTCGCTCAATGAAATTAGAAGATTAGTTCGTGCCGGCTTCCTTTTGGTGGGACTTCCATGTTCCAGTTTTTGCGCTCCGCCTGCGCCTAAGATATGACCTCTTGCAGTGGTTTCAATACTCAGCTGCAAAGTTAATTCCTAAGGTCGGCAGGAACACATGAACGGTCTATAGTCTTCCCGGAAGGGAATAGCGGCTACCCTTCAGTTTCCTTGGGGAACTTGCTGTGCAGTCGCACAGTTTTGCTGCTGCTTTACGCAGCTTACAAACAGATAATGTTCCTGCTGGAGCAACCGGCGCGCAGTCTCGCCGAAGAACATCCAAGACTTCGAGGTCTCCTCCGTCATACGCAGATTTTCTCTGCTGAGATCTGGCACGGACTCTATGGGGGAAGCACGCCCAAAAGACAAAAATTATATAGCAACTGCTTCCGATTGCTCGTCAACATCCACGCGAAAGCTGGGCGTGTGGAAGAAGGCCGTTTTCATGAACTGCAAGGGCCACCCCTGGTGAACAGAAAACGGCGTGCTGATGGCAGCATGGCATGGAGTGGAAACAGTGATCTCCGGGACAGCCAGTGCCCTGGTGTGAACTGATTCTTTTCTGACCATAACGCAGCGCTTTATTCCCGGAAAAACAAAGTTGCTGTCTGGCCGAAACTGTGTCTGTGCATGTGTGCCTCATGGAGGTCCTATGCCCCAGCATTTGGCCAGCATCTTGCTATCCTGCGGCTCCAAGCCAAGCAGCATCCTTCCTGGTGGGCTTCTTTGCTGTAAAGGCTATGGACAAGAAACTTTCTGCGCGGTTGCTGCCTCGAAAACCTTAAACTTTGCAAGTTCTAGCATGGAACATGTTGCTGCAGCGTAAGGTTGGGCCTGAGCTTCCTCGTTCGCCAAAGCTGAAGGAAGACGCTGCAGACAAGTCAGACTTGCAGCTCCTGCAGGCTTCACATGTGACGCTTGCAGTAAGTGCTTGGATGACTGTTGCTTACAATTTCAGGAGGTGGATTGGGCCGTGGTGAGACATGAATGGGAGGACGTTTCTTGGGCACCATATCTAGGTATATCATGATGATTGGAAAGCAGAAGTTTCCTCACGCATGGCCTGCATGTCTATACTAATTTATATGGTCCATCAAAAATTAAGAAAAATTTGCTGTTGTATGTGCGTATGTGCCATGAGAAGAGCATACATGCAAGCATCTCGCATTCTGAGGCTCAGATCTTGGATGCGTTGCGCTATCTGCTGAACTCTGGCAGCTTGTTGGCTGAAAGCCCGCAAGACAGGTATGTGCTGCAGGTGGCCCGTGAGCTGGTCGCTGGCTCCTAAAGGTGCCGGATGAGCGCTGGTCGCGGGTGCAAACATCAGGGCGACCAAATGACACACAAAACCCCGTGAGTGATACATAAAACCCGTCTCATGACACATAAATCCCCGGGGCCTTTCCGCGCCTGACCCAGTCGTTCTCTCTCGCACAGACATGGGCAAACTTGAGCGCGCTTTACTATCTTCAAGTTTTTAAGGCTTCAAGAAGCAGTTTTCAGCCTTTTTAGGGTTTGTGCCGGCTGCCGTCATGGGCAAGCAGGCCAAGACCGCGAAGCCTGCCAAGAAGGCGCAGACCGACTCTGAAGCTCTGGAGGCCCTTACCTCCAAGGCCCCTGGCGCGCTTCCTGAGAGGGAAGCTTTGGCAGCTGCTTTGAACTTGTCTGTTGAAGACGCTGACAAAGTTCTGGCGACGGCGCGTGGCTCTTTGGAAGCTGTGCCCCTTGCCAGTGAGTCTTCCCAGCCGGTACAGGCAGCTGCAAAAGCGAAGAACAAGCCAAGGCAGCCGAAGGCTAAAGCAGAGCCTAAGGAGGCGCCCAAGCGAGCCGCGAAGAAAACAGCCAAGGCTCAGCAG